CAACTGTGGAGGTGCTGCTTGTGAAAAAATCACATGATGTGAAATCATTCAAGTATTGATCTATTTAATTCAAGTTATGCATAATACAAGAATTATTCAAAACACTTTTTCTTCTTCTTCTTCTAGCTAAATATTAACTTCCATTTTTGCGCCACTGCATTTAACACGAAAGTAGACGAAGCTTTGCTTACAAACTGACTCAGCGAGTCACTCACTCTCTCTCTCGCTCACTCCATCGCTCACTCCATCGCTCACTCGCTCACTCACTGAGTTACTCACTTAGTGAGTTGTTAGTCAATACTCACTTTGCACTCTTCGCCTTCATCGTTAGCGTCATCGTCATCGTCAAGGCAGTCAACCTGAAACTTGCAGTCAACTTTTCACACTAACTAACAACAACAACAAAAACAACAACAACAACAGCAGCAGCACACACACACACACACATTGAAATGCATTTAGTGCTGTCTGCAGGCACTTTATGCTAATTGCGCGTTTGCCATTTGGTCAGGTAGAGCAACAGAGCGACCCATACAAGTGTCAAGTGCGGGTGCAAGTGGCAAGAGTAGAGTGTGGAGAGTGCAGAGTAATATCACATAATACTCAGAGTGAGAGAGAGAGTGAGAGAGAGAGAGAGACAGACAACTAGCGAGTTATTCATTTTGAAATGGACGACACATAGATACGAGTAATTTACACCTGTTGGCGGCTAATAAATCCAGTTGACAGATGCAAAATGCAAACAGTTAAATATGCATACCATATGAATATGAATCTTAAATGTACATAGCTTATAGCTAAAAATGTCTACGTAGTTCTTAACATACATATATACATAATATAATGTGTGGGAATGTTCTCGGAAGTTCGGAAATCTGATCTGGCTGGCTTACCACATACTTACTATATATATGTATATATGTATATGTATTACATACTTTTGTTTCGATTTGTATTCAACCTTCTTTAATTCAAGCAAGGACCTTCTCAAGTTTCTAAAATGATGTAGCATACTTTTTGGTGTATTATAAATAAATAATATATAATTGGTTCCTTTCAAATTATTCTTCTCAATATTTAAGTAATTCAAAGAAAAACACCTGAATTTGGCTTATCCGGAATTGTTAATTGTCATTTTTTCTTTTTAGATATATATAGCTAGTTGATATTTAGAGCTTGCATCTATAGACAATAACTTCTATTTTCAGACGTTTCTAGAATGCACAAAGACAGAAGACAGTTGCAAATAAGTCCATTAGCCGATTTGGCAGCTGTAACAAAAATGTTACTTGATTTGTTGACAAACGTCTAGCAGAGAAGACAAGTTTGCAGATAGCGTCAAATGTGCTCTGGCATATACATAACTTATTCTCTTTGACTTTGATTTTGGAATGCCCAAAACAAGATGATGAATCTGATGAGGCTGCTGTTGCTGTCTCCAATTGGGTGGGTGGGAGGTTGGATGGATGGTTGTTTAGTGGATGAATTGCTTGAGTACGACCTTTAGCTATTCAAATAATATTTGCTTAATTGTTATTGTTATTGTTATTGTTGTTGTTTGCTTTTGCCTGCTGACATGTTTGCTTCTGTGTTTTGTTTGTTTTGGCTTCTGTGATGTTTGCCTTGGCTATCGTTGTCTGCAATGCTAATCTTGAAGTTCATCTTGCCCATGGCCATAAACAATTCATACAAATATATATATATATATGTACATACATAAATGCATAATACTCGTATAAGAAATGTCAAATATTTGTGGCCACTCAAGCATTGCGAGGCAAAAATAAAACGTAAGAAAAACAAATATAAAAAATGAGTTCCTGAATGATGACGAAATGCTTCAAGAAATGCCTAAACCTTTACAGTAATTTACATTTGCAAATAATAATACGACATCGTAACACCATATTTACATTATATATCTTCCTCTCTCTCTCGCGCTCTCTCTCTCTCTCTCTCTCTCTATCTCTTTCTAACCCCTTGTCTGCCTCAATCTTAAATTTGAACAATATCAATCTTGGTCGATAAATATCGCCAGCGACCCTGGACAAGTCAAAGCCAAAGCCAAAGCCAAAACTGACGCGAAACCTAAAAGCGAAGGTCGCCTTTTTGCTGCTTTGTTGCTTAGTTGCTTTGTTGCTGTTAATTGTTATTAATTTTTGATTTGATTAATGTTATAGTTTTTAGGAAATAACCTGACTCGATTTCGTTTAGAGCGAACTTCAATTTCTGTTTGATGAATGTGCACCATTTGTATCTATCTATAGACAAATGCACATTTCTATCTGCATTTCTGTCTGCCAGTTGCAAAATGCTCCTCATCAAGCTCAGTGCAAAGTTGAGCTTTAACTGAGAATCGATTTGTTGTTGTTGCTGTTGCTGTTGAGTTTCTCTGCTCGCGAATATTGGAATTGCATAATGTGTGCGCGCGCTAATTATCATTCATCATCATTACTACTAACGTCTAATGATAATTAAGCAAAGCAAAGCAAAGCAGCAGCAGCGGCAAATGACTAATGACTGAGTGAGCATCATGTAATGCTCGAAAGCGAAACATGAAACAAAACGGCAAATTGAAAGAAACGCACCAATTATGCAATAAGCTCAACCCCGAATCGGAGAGTGTGTGTGTGTGTGAGTGAATAAGAGCAAGGGCTTAATGGAGAGAGGGAGGGGGAGGCGGGGAGACTAGCTGCTCATATGCTAAACACACGCTTTACGGCGTCACTTACAACTTGCCGTCATTGTTGTTGTTGCTGTTGTTGTTTTTGTAGCTGGGCATTATTTCATTTGATTTCATTTCGTTGCGCTTCGCTTATACTTTTTCTTTGCCTACTTACGCTGTGTGTGTGTGTGTGTTCCTCTGTGTGTGTGTTCCTCTCTCTGTGTGTGTGTGTAGCGAAAGCTCACAATAAATTGCAATTGGAATTCGCCGACTATCTCAACAACAACAACAAGCTTGTTACTCGAAAAATGTTGTTTGCGAAAAATGTAGAAAAACTCGCGCTGCAATAAATAAAAAATGTGCAGCAAAGTAATTGATTATGTGACGACAGACAATTGAAAAACAAACGTGAAAAGAAAATTGTTATAATAATCGAAATGCCAGCGACATGAGCAATTAACTCACTGATTGACTCACTGAGCAAGTTAAAATTGATGCCAGCGATAAGATATGCATCGCATCGGTGGCAAGGTCTGCCATGAGGGCAAAACTTACAGAATGCTAGCAATTTTCGAATTTAAAATAAGTAAATATCAGCAATAGTTAGAAGTCTGTATAACCATGATTTACAGCACTCATAAGTAAACAGAATTCGTGTTTCTTTTTGTTTGTTTGTTTTTAATCCACTCGTCAATCATCTCGACACATTTCGCTCGCATTGCCTGCCATTTTTTGTTTTTGATTTTCTTGTGAGTTAACACTTCCGCTACTTGTCGCCATTTTGTACGCCATTTTGCCAACAGTTTTGTTTGCCCTTTTTTTTCTGCCTCAGCGCCATTTTGAGCATATTTATGCGACTGTGCGCGAGTCTCTATGTGTGTGTGGGTGTGGGTATGTGTATGTGTGTTGGTGTTGGTGTTTAATTCATGCTTGCGCCACGCCCACCCGTTTGTTGGTTTGATTAAATTGGTATGCGCCAGCCAGCAACAATAATTCAATTTAACAAATGAATTTTGCCACGTTTTTCGCTTTGGCAAGCAGCCCCAAAGCGCGGACAGAGACTTTTATTTGCATAAATTACGGTTAGCCCGTTACGTTGTTGCTATTAAAGTAGGCCAGCCATTAAATACATATATCCAAGTATATACACATACACATACACACATACATACATACATGCGCAAATTGTCGACGATTAAAAAGGGAATTCGCTGAAATGTACAGTTTAATTGCCCGTGCTTAGTTTATGTTATGTTCATTTAATAAATTCGGTTCATGAATTGCAAATTAAATGCTCTTCGATGGCAGTCAACTATATATATAGTATATATATGTATATAAGTTCGAGATGAAAATCTCATGATGAAAATTGCATATACTTCAATGTTAAGAAATTCCAAAAATTAAAAAATGAATGCATACATTTCAATTCGACATTTTAATATGAATGCAGGCGCAATTCTGGAAATGGCTAAATGGGAAGCACTTAAAAAGTGTCGGCAATGCTCGGAAAAATGGTTGAAACGAGTATATTGGAATTGTGCCGAAGAATGCAAGAGGCAGAAGGAAGTATCTCTGACTCCATAAATGATATACATATATATATATATGTATATATTCTAGATCAAGATCAACTGAGGCTATAACAGCTAGAGACTTAATATTGGGAATAAAGCAGCTCAAGTCAACTTCACTTTTATCGATAACTCCCCCCGTTTTGCGAATATCGATACAAATGCGATTTGCGATTGCAATAAAGGAATATCATTGCAATTGATAGATATATTCTTGATCAAACACATTGCATCCAGATCAACTATCACAAATACTACTATGTAGGGTATCCTGCTATTCGAGCTCTTTCGACGTTGCATCCCTGTGTGGGCCGCGAACGGGATGCGCCCTGTCTGCCAGATGCAAGCGCGAATCCATTATTTTTTTATCATTATGTTCTGTTTGGTTTTCTCGTTTTTTTAACGCGGCAGTTGCCAGCGAGAGCTCGTTGTTTGCAGTGTTAATATTTGGCGTCTGGCACCAGCTGAAGGACAACCAACAAGGACAAAGGACATAGGACATAGGACATCGTAATGATGATCATCATAATGCTCTTCATCATTCGGGCTGTCCTTTTATTGCCAGTTGGTACTTTTGTTTGCCTACTTTACCACTTCACGAATGTCATTGCACTTTCTGTGAGGGGCTGGCTGCTCCCAGGACAATCCATCCGTCAACGCAAAACACAAAACGCCCTTCAACAGACCGTTCTTTAACTAAATGCAACTGTATAACTAATATATAAACTGTTTTCTTCTGTCTCTTCCCTGTTTATCCACAGCATGCGCATGGCGCCGATCTAGCCATAAGCATTCCGAACAATCCGGGCCTTGATGATGGCGCCTCATATCGGCTGGATTATAGTCCGCCCTTTGGCTATCCGGAGCCAAACACAACAATCGCCTCACGGGACATTGGCGATGAGATTCAATTCTCGCGCGCTCTGCCCGGCACCAAATACAATTTCTGGCTCTATTACACAAACTTTACGCATCACGATTGGCTCACGTGGACGGTGACCATTACGACAGGTAAGTCATCTATATATATCGAATCGAGGGAGAACTTAAGTCTATGATAGATAACATACACAATGTGAAGTCGGAGAATTTACTTGAAAATTTATACGTATATGCACAGCTTTTGCTTTTGACCAGAAAAGCCTTTGGCTAGAAAACTGTGGCTGACAAGCAAAAAGAAAAAAAAAAATAAACAATAAACAATAAAAAACAAGCTTTACACAGAGAGAGAGAGAGAGAGAGAGAGAGAGAAGGTATAAGAAACAGGGATAACTTGAACTTGAAGAAGCAAAGGATTTGCGGCCCGGCCATTGCAAGCCAATTTTATTCCTGGGGTATACAAGGATATAGAGGGGTATAGAGAGAGGCTCATGCGTAAGTCCTGGCGCAGCACCTGGGCCGCAGCTGACAAGCCCACGAAGTCCATAAATTACCCAAGGGTACCATTCAATTTAATGCGGTTTGGGTATGTGGGTGCTAAAAGTACATCCACACACACACACACACACATGCTTACATTCATACAAATATAGATGGTCACTTGGGCACGCAGGTCGCGACGAAAGCCCATTCAAGTTGAAGTGATGACCGAAATGGGATTTAGGCTAAAATTGATGAGTAACTAAATTGTTGAATTGCTGTTACTTTTTGTAGTTGCTTGTTTTCATTCGATGAGTTTGCCGTTAACTTGATACGTATTCGCAATGCTCTCTCAATGAAAAACAGAAGAAAAAAAAAAACCTGTCAAAAGTAGAAAGTGAAACAAAACAAAAACCAGTTGCGCAGCAGCAGTTTCAAAAACAAAAGCAACAAATAACTATTAGTTAGGGAGAGAGCGAGATAGACATAGAGACAAGGAGAGAGAGCACTTAACTATGGCGTAGCTATAAATAGATAGACATCAGTGAGAGCAGCAACAGCAGCAGCAAGTTGAGCTTTCATCTGGCGTTGCGCATGTTATCAAGCATCGGTGGTTCAGTGGTAGAATGCTCGCCTGCCACGCGGGCGGCCCGGGTTCGATTCCCGGCCGATGCATGACTATATATTTTTGTTTTTTTTTTTTCTTTTTCTTATATACATTTATATACTTTAATATTGATTTCAGCGCCCGATCCGCCCTCAAACTTGTCAGTGCAGGTGCGCAGCGGGAAGAATGCGATCATATTATGGTCACCGCCCACACAGGGCAGTTATACGGCATTCAAGATCAAGGTGCTGGGCCTGTCGGAGGCATCGAGCAGCTACAATCGCACCTTCCAGGTCAACGACAATACATTCCAGCACAGTGTCAAGGAGCTGACACCGGGCGCCACATACCAGGTCCAGGCCTATACCATTTACGACGGCAAGGAATCTGTTGCATATACGAGTCGCAATTTCACGACAAGTAAGTGTGTCCCTCATTTGCGAGCTACTATTCCAATAAAATACAATTAATTAATGTGGTGATGTGGTGCTGGTGCCTAGATTGTAACTAAATCAAAACAATATCTCATTCTTCTGCTTTCTACCCAAAAATATAACTTTTGTGTGTTTTCACTTGTAACTGTAACTAAAAAAAAAATAAAAAAAAAAACATAAAACTCAACAAAAACCTAACCAAAAACCCTGAAAAATAAAAGGTCGAAGGACGCGGCATAAAGAATTGTTGGATATAAAAATCTTGAGAGGTAATGTAAAACCATAAATTTGGGTTTGCTTTCTTATAGAGCGGCATGCAAAAAAAAAAAAAAAAAAAAAAAAAAAAAAAAAACGAAAAAAATGCTTTTCTTTTTTCTTTTGTTTAGTTTGTAGTCCGCCGTAGTTACCATTTACTAACCAGTCCTCCATTTTGGTCCAAACAAACAACCCTGACCTAGCCCTCAGGCCGAACTGACCGCTGGCAACGTGCCAGATTTATTTTACTAGTCCCAAATTGCACAAACCAACCAAAAGCAAAGCAAACCAAACCAAACCAAAAGAAGCCTCGTGCACTTTCCCCCTCAACCGACATTGTGTTCGCTATTTGCTGCATGCCACAGACCACAACAAAGTGCGACTAACACAAGTTCCGTGCCACTCTGCAGTCTACAATCATGGAACATACCCATTCCCACAATGGGAATGGCATGCTAATGTTTACAGTGGTGTCCATTTCAGTGCTTATGCCATGAATTCAATAGTTTAACAGTTGGACAAATCTTTCAGATTTATTGGCTATTTAAATCTAAACATAATTAAACATAAATAGTAGTCTAACAGATCAAATATGAACTAAAAGAAAATATAATAAAAATATTTGATTAACGGCATTCCTGGAAAACTCGGTTTTCCAACTGGTAACAATGGAACTAATCGAAATATTGTAGATAACATGTAGATACTTTATGTAGACTAGATACAGATTGTTAACCCGTAAATACTAATAATAATAATAACAAAACTGCTAACCACTGTGCATGCACATACAAATACAGATATATATACAGATATATACAAATACAGATATAACAAAAATTGCTAACACAAAACATCGTTCGATGTTGTTCGTTTTTCGGTTTCTTCTTTGTTTATTGTGTGTATGTTTGGTGCCCTGATGAATACCTGCCTGGACTTGACTACGCTGACGCTTCTGCATCCTGCATTCTGCGTTGCATTGTTGATTGTGTTCTTGTTTGTGGCACACGTCTACAGAGCCCAATACGCCGGGGAAGTTCATAGTGTGGTTTCGTAATGAGACGACACTGCTGGTGCTATGGCAGCCACCGTATCCAGCTGGGATTTACACCCACTACAAGGTTTCAATAGAGCCGCCCGATGCCAACGACAGTGTGCTCTATGTGGAGAAGGAGGGCGAGCCTCCGGGTCCAGCGCAGGCGGCATTTAAGGGCCTCGTGCCGGGTCGTGCCTACAACATTTCTGTGCAGACCATGTCCGAGGATGAGATATCGCTGCCGACAACTGCACAATATCGTACGGTACCGTTGCGACCGTTAAATGTAACATTCGACAAGGATTTCATTACGTCCAACTCGTTCCGGGTGCTGTGGGAGGCGCCTAAGGGCGTCTCAGAGTTCGACAAGTATCAGGTGTCGGTGGCGACCACTCGTCGCCAGTCGACAGTCGCCCGCAGCAATGAGCCGATCGCCTTTTTCGATTTCCGTGACATCGTCGAGCCCGGCAAGACGTTCAATGTGATTGTGAAAACGGTCTCCGGCAAGGTGACCTCGTGGCCAGCCACAGGCGATGTCACCCTGCGACCCCTGCCCGTACGTAATCTGCGCAGCTTCAACGATGACAAGACGAACACAATGATTATCACCTGGGAGGCGGATGCGGCCAGCACACAGGACGAGTATCGCATTGCGTAAGCCAGTGTTTAATTACTTTCTCCTGCATCGACTGACACTCTTTGTATTCTGTTCCATCTTAGCTATCATGAATTGGAGACGTTCAATGGCGATACGAGCACCCTGACCACAGATAGCACTCGGTTTACGCTGGAGAGTCTGTTGCCTGGTCGCAATTATTCGCTTTCCGTTCAGGCCGTGTCCAAGAAAATGGAATCGAATGAGACGAGCATCTTTGTGGTCACCCGACCCTCATCGCCCATCATTGAGGATCTGAAGAGCATACGCATGGGCCTGAATATCAGCTGGAAGAGTGACGTCAACTCCAAGCAGGAACAGTACGAGATTCTCTACTCGCGCAACGGCACCAGCGAGGTGCGCACCCTCATCACCAAGGAATCCCGATTGGTCATCAAGAATCTGCAGCCGGGCGCTGGCTACGAACTGAAGGTGTTTGCCGTTAGTCACGAGTTGCGCAGCGAGCCGCACGCCTACTTCCAGGCAGTCTGTAAGTATTGCGTCTAAATCTCCCTAATTGAATGTGTTAATGATTTTGCTCTGCTTATCTCGTGCAGTTCCCAATCCGCCGCGCAACATGACCATTGAAACGGTGCGTAGCAACTCGGTGCTGGTGCATTGGTCACCGCCGGAAAGCGGCGAGTTCACAGAGTACTCCATACGCTATCGCACAGACAGCGAACAGCAATGGGTGCGACTGCCCAGCGTACGGTCTACGGAGGCGGACATCACCGACATGACCAAGGGGGAGAAGTATACGATACAGGTGAACACGGTCAGCTTTGGTGTCGAGAGTCCAAATCCGCAAGAGGTCAACACAACCGTTCCACCGAATCCAGTTTCAAATATCATTCAATTGGTTGACTCGCGCAACATAACACTAGAGTGGCCAAAGCCGGAGGGACGTGTGGAATCCTACATCCTTAAATGGTGGCCCAGTGACAATCCCACTCGTGTCCAGACCAAGAACGTCTCGGAAAACAAATCGGGTGAGCATTCAAATCGATATAGTCTCTTCTCAATCTCTGCCAAGCTAACAACTTGTGTCTCTTCCATGCAGCGGATGATTTGTCAACGGTGCGAGTCCTAATTGGTGATCTGATGCCGGGTCTGCAGTACAAGTTCGATATACAGACGACCTCCTATGGCATACTCTCCGGCATAACGAGCCTATATCCGCGCACCATGCCGCTCATTCAATCCGATGTGGTTGTGGCCAACGGCGAGAAGGAGGACGAACGGGACACGATAACGCTCAGTTATACACCCACACCGCAGTCCTCGTCCAAGTTTGATATCTATCGGTTCTCGTTGGGCGATGTGGAGATTAAGGACAAGGAGAAATTGGCCAATGATACCGATCGGAAGGTGACCTTCACCGGTTTGATACCCGGTCGCCTTTACAACATCACCGTGTGGACGGTGAGCGGGGGTGTGGCCAGTTTACCAATACAGCGGCAAGATCGCCTCTATCCGGAGCCCATAACCCAGTTGCATGCAACGAATATCACGGATACGGAGATTTCACTACATTGGGATGTGCCCAAGGGCGAGTACAATGACTTCGATATCGCCTACCTCACGGCCGATAATCTGCTGGCCCAGAACATGACCACACGGAACGAGATCACCATCAGCGAACTTCGTCCGCATCGCAACTACACCTTCACCGTGGTCGTACGCTCCGGCACAGAATCCTCTGTGCTACGCAGCAGTGCACCGCTCTCGGCTAGCTTCACCACCAACGAGGCTGTGCCCGGTCGTGTGGAGCGCTTCTATCCGATGGATGTCCAGCCGAGTGAGATAAACTTTGAGTGGTCGCTGCCATCGAGCGAGGCAAACGGCGTCATCCGACAGTTCTCGATCGCCTACACGAACATTAACAATCTGACGGATGCGGGCATGCAGAACTTTGACTCCGAGGAGTCTGTTGGCGTTATCAAGAATTTGAAGCCGGGCGAGACATATGTGTTCAAGATCCAAGCAAAAACCGCCATCGGCTATGGTCCGGAGCGTGAGTACAAGCAAACGATGCCAATTCTGGCACCGCCCCGACCAGCTACACAGGTGGTGCCGACCGAGGTTTATCGCAGCTCGTCAACCATTCAGATACGGTTCCGCAAGAACTACTTCTCCGATCAGAACGGCCAGGTGCGCATGTACACAATTATTGTCGCCGAGGACGATGCGAAGAACGCTTCCGGCCTAGAGATGCCCAGTTGGCTGGATGTACAATCGTACAGCGTGTGGCTGCCCTACCAGGCCATCGATCCGTATTATCCATTTGAGAATCGTTCCGTCGAGGACTTTACCATTGGCACTGAAAACTGCGACAACCACAAGATCGGTTATTGCAATGGACCCCTCAAATCGGGCACCACCTATCGCGTCAAGGTGCGCGCCTTCACCGGACCCGACAAGTTCACGGACACCGCCTATAGTTTCCCCATCCAAACCGGTGAGTGCGAAGGTCTTTAATAAACATAACCATTTAGACCCCGACCAAGCAAGCAGGAGTAAACTAATCTGTATTCAATTTACCATATCTATCAATCTATGTCTTGCCTGCTGCATGTTCTATGATCCGTCCTAGAACTGCTGAGCTCGCCGGGTAAGCTGTCAATTGACGATTAGCGGATGCCTTCCAGCCTAACAGACTGAATATCTAATTTGACTTATCTCCTTTGACTCTCTCTCTCTCTCTTTTGCAGATCAAGACAATACGTCGCTTATTGTGGCCATTACCGTGCCAATGACTATTATCCTGGTGCTGCTGGTCACCCTTGTATTTTACAAGCGACGTCGCAACAACTGCCGCAAGACCACAAAGGACTCTCGTGCCAATGATAATATGTCGCTGCCGGACAGTGTCATCGAACAGAATCGTCCCATTTTGATCAAGAACTTTGCTGAACATTATCGCCTCATGTCCGCCGATTCGGACTTCCGGTTCAGCGAGGAGTTCGAGGAGCTGAAGCACGTGGGTCGCGACCAGCCCTGCACGTTCGCCGATCTGCCTTGCAATCGACCCAAAAATCGATTCACCAACATTCTACCATACGATCACTCGCGCTTCAAACTCCAGCCGGTTGACGATGACGAGGGCTCCGACTACATCAATGCCAACTATGTGCCCGGCCACAATTCGCCGCGCGAATTTATTGTCACCCAGGGACCGTTGCACTCGACCCGCGACGACTTCTGGCGCATGTGCTGGGAGAGCAACTCCCGTGCGATTGTCATGCTGACCCGCTGCTTCGAGAAGGGACGGGAGAAGTGCGACCAGTACTGGCCCAACGACACGGTGCCCGTCTTTTACGGCGACATCAAGGTACAAATACTCAACGACAGCCACTACGCCGACTGGGTGATGACCGAGTTTATGTTGTGCCGGGTAAGCAAATGCCTTCTTTCACTTTGTACAATACGACTGCAACTTAGAAACAAAAAAAGACAGAGGCGACAACAGAGCTGGGCAGAGACATCAGGACTCCGACAAGCCAGACTAGTCTTTTGGGTGGCTATAATCTCAGACGATTTAAGCAATAATAACAACCATGGGAAAAGTAAGCTTACAATAGGCTCACTGGTCCACTGACAGAACATTGTAGACTAAGAAGTCTTCTAACTAAACTAGGTATTAGCAGAGTGTCGCCTGTGGTTCTAGGAATGCATGTTCTGAGTTTCATCGACATAGAAGCCCTGAACCCAACAAAGATTCTAGCATTCGTGCGGCAGCTGAGGGTTGATGGAAGAGCCATATGCTCAGTAGGGGGCCACAATTGTAATAATAATAATATTTGCTTTATTTAATTGAACTCCACTTAATTGTCTCTCTGAATTCAACTGATTGTCCTGATCCTTGACACTCATATTCATCTCTCTCTCTCTCTCTCTGTCTCTTTCTTTATCTTCATGTTATAGGGTAGTGAGCAAAGGATCTTGCGTCACTTCCATTTCATCACGTGGCCGGACTTTGGCGTACCGAATCCGCCGCAGACGCTGGTGCGTTTCGTTCGCGCGTTCCGGGATCGCATCGGTGCCGAGCAGCGTCCCATTCTGGTGCACTGCAGCGCTGGCGTTGGCAGATCGGGCACCTTCATAACGCTGGATCGCATACTGCAGCAGATCAATACGTCCGACTATGTCGATATCTTTGGCATTGTCTATGCCATGCGCAAAGGTATGTGAACAGTTTCGTCCCCTCCCCCCAAAACTGCGACTCAAACATCGATCTTAATCTTAATCTGATGAATTGCAGAGCGCGTTTGGATGGTGCAAACGGAGCAGCAGTACATCTGTATCCATCAGTGCCTGCTGGCTGTGCTCGAGGGCAAAGAGAATATTGTGGGTCCCGCTCGCGTCATGGATGATAATGAGGGCTTTGAAGGTACGTCCGCTCTTCCCTCTTCCTCTATCGCCAACTCTACTTATTATTCCAACACCCACACAAACCCTTCTTGTTGCCTGGTGCTGGGCCGCTCGTTGCGAACGCCTCGTTTTACCACTAACCCAAATTCTTTGCAGGATTTGTTCATTTTTATTACCCTTGCAGGACTTCATAGTCATTGCGCGATCATATCTAAAGTATATATATATATATATATATATATATATAGATATCCTTAAGAGAGCAATTGTGTCGCAACTTATGCCTTCAGAGCCAATGAATGTCTGCAAGGGTATTTAATCTTTGGCATGCCGAAGATATATGTTTTTTCTTCTTTTTTTTCTCTCTCTCTCTCTTTCATTGTCTCACTCTCGCACACACTCTCATTCTCACTTGGTGCTGGGTTCAAAACATTAACTTACCAAATTGCAAATTTCTTCTAACACACCCATACGCACACATATACGAACACACGGAAACGGAAACGGACATGGATATGGATGCACATGTATGTGTGATCAGGCGGAGATGGTCTAGTGGATGAGCATGGCGCCATTGTGGCCACAATTGAGGATCATGTGACGCATCACGAACTGCAGCAGGCGGAGGCGGAGGCCATCGACGATGAGAACGCTGCGATTCTGCACGACGATCAGCAGCCGCTGACGGGCAGCAGCTTTATGGCCGGCAGCAGCTTTGGCGGTGGCCTCGGACTCGGCTTGGGATTGGGTCTCGGTTCGCTTGCCACAAATTCGATGAGCTCCTTCGGTGTGGATGCGCCGGACAGATGACATTCGGTTGTCAATCAGAGTGATAACAACAATTCGGTGGTTATCGTTCTGGTTGACAACAAGCCCAGCTCGATGATCTGCAAGGAGGGCAGCAGCATCGATATCGACTCCAAGGAGCAGCAACAACCACCTACAGCAACAGCAGCAGCAGCAATGACAAATTCCCTGCCTGGCAATGGGTTCACCACGCTGCAGCACAGACGCAAGTCCCAGCTGATCACATTTAGCGCTAGTTCTTGTGATATCAAAAACAGTCTCAGCCATGACTTTATCAATAATTATGCTGCTGTTGGAGCAGGAACAGGAACAGGAGCAGCTGCAGGCAGCACACGAGCCAGTCGCGCCAATGTGCGTCTCAGCTTTGCTGAGGAGGATGTGCTGATTAATCCGCAGCCAGCAGCTGCTGCCGCTCTAGAAGATGTCGATGTCTACAGACGTCGCTCGCTGCTCGAAGTGGAGCTGGGCGTGGAGGTGGGCGAGGAGGTTCAGTTGCAGCTAGAAGAAGAGCTCGATGAACACGATGACGACGAGGAGCAGGACGACGACGACGACGACGATGACGACGACGACGACGAAGATGAAGAAGATGAGCAAGAGGAGGTAGATGTCGATGTCGATGTGGATGTCGATGTGGATGTGCTCTACATGCACGACGAATTCGAGACGCACATCGATGCCAAATCGAATAATGCAAACGATGACAGTGGTGGCGGCAGCTATGAGGATTCGCATGCGCTGCACAGTTCGCTCGGTGGCAGCAATCGGAACAGTCTCGAAAAGGACGATGACGACATTGATGTCGATGTGATCAGCACCGATGTCAGTTGCTACGATCAGCTGCTGGGCAGCAGCTGCAATACGCGCAACGGCGATGGCGATGAGGCAATCGCGACGCTAATCGGCGATGGCGACAATTACAACAAGTTGGGCATTAAGACACAACTGTTGGGTGGTGCGCGCAGTGTCAGTGGTGTTGGTGGTGTGGGAGGTGGTGTCGGTGTTGGAGCTGCTGCACTCAATGAAGCCACAATGGAGCCGGGTGGCAATGGCAGCGCTGGAATCATTTATGCCAATCCGTTTATGGGTTTGTAAGCTTTAACGCTTGCTCTCTTTCTCTCTCCCCCTCTCTCTCTCTCCCTCTGTCTCTCGCTCTCTCCCCGCCTCACTCTATCTCGTCCTATCTCTCCCTCTCTCTCTGTCACTCCCGCATGTTGCATATTATGTTGACATTTAATTTCATCTAAGTTTCTGCTCTCGTCCCCCTCATTCTTGTTATTATCGCATGTATTTTGCTTTATTAATTTAGTTTATAATGTTTTTTATGTGTTTTCCTCTGTATTTATAATGTTTTTCGTTGTTTGTTTTTTTTTTGTTTGTTGCTGCTGATTTCTAAAATATTTATAATGATTGCTAATATTAGCCACAACTTCCAGATGACGAGGGCATTGCGGAATCGGGCATGTAGAGAGGGAGGCACAACAGTAGCAGTAGCAACAGCAGCAGCAGCAGCAACAGCAGCAGCAGCAACAACAACAGCAACAGCAGCAGCAACAACAACAGCAACAACAACAACAACAACAACAACAAGAACAACCCGAACAACCCCATTGGGCAAACTACACAATTAAATTTACTTAAGAGTAACTCAAAACAAAGCAACGCTTGATATTATTCTCGATATAGCATATATACACATATATATATATATATATTATATATTATACTATATACAAATACGTACAACTCGTATGGATTGGATGCGCTATATACAAACAACATTATATTTAAATATACATATTTGACAAATATTAAGGAAAAACAAAGCAATCCAATTTTGTGGCCTGTTCCGGATATCATTCGATACCCAACATGCAATATATTTATTTACTAACCGCTCGAGTTCAGATATTTTTTTATTATTATTATTATATGAATATAACAAGTTGCATTTTAATTACAAACTTACTACTCCGTATATAAATCACAGAAATTAATCAAATTAATGCTCTTTTTGGGAAATATGAATTTCACATTGAATACATTTTGGACAACTGTTATTTCTGAGCGAACACAATCCACTTTGAATCGAAACCGATATAGAGAACAGGCCCTCTATATACAAACATATACCATATAAATCCAATCCTGTATTGTATCGTATATCTGTAACCGCTGCTAATGATACTACCGATATTATTATAACTGAATGTCAAAAAAAAAAACAAAAAAAAAACAAACAATATTTTTATTGCTAGCCACAATTTTTTGTAATGTTATAAATATACATACATAAATGTAACTTCCAATTTTTGTACACTATATGTTAGTTAAAAAATCAAACCAAGAACAGAGCCCTAAATGTTTTTTTTTTATATAAACATATACCTTTACCATACATAAGCATACATGAGTATGTGTGCCTCATATTAGGGCATAAAATAACTAAACGTGAAAAAGCGCTGCTTGAGAACAATATATATGTATATATGTATTACTCACACACATATATATATATATATATATATACATATACATATATTTCTAAAATACATACATATGTACATATACGTAAAATGTATTTTACAATTGCAATAATTCAGTTACATAGTTTTAAACGAAAAGAAAAACAAACAAAGAAATGTTGCAACATTTTGTGGCAAGCCCAGCAGCTTAGCGAAATGTACCATCTAATTTGTAGTCTATTTCTATTAATTTTTTTTAAATCTATATACTATATATATATAGTATATATATATATATATATATATATATATATATATAAACAAAACATTTGTATATGTGTGTAATTTTGATGTATGTATGTGCTACTTTAATATTGTTTAATTATATAGAATTTTATTTTAAAAAAATCAATCAACATTTTGTTTTTATATTTTGTTTTTCTCTCATTACAAAAACGTATTAAGCATCCTTTCACCACATACGATATGAATCCAGCCAACAGCTCAATTTGCTGTTGGCTCAACAGACACATAATTAGAACCCGTAAACCGAACAACAGTTACAACAACTACAGCACAAAAACAAATGACCAACGCATTTTGGAAGGCGATAATCATTTACACAACAAAGAACTTTTTCTCGATTTTTCGTATGTACTATGTAAAAGGACGACTGCGCAGCAACAGAGTGCAAGTGCAGAAGTATAGCATGTAGTTAAAAGAAAACGCTAACTAAAATTAGCGTGAAGCCGGTGCCAAAGCAAAACACATTCACACACACACACACACATTCAAATAGCAGCAACAGCAGTAACTAAACTAACGGTAACAATAACAATTTAGCAATAGCGAAAATAAATGTAGGAAAATTAATTTGCCTACACACTTTGTTCAAGCTTAGTTGAAATTAGTTGGTAATGTGCAATAGAAACGTTTTGCTTTTAGTCTAGTTAACACCGCCCAACCCTCTTCCCTAGATACTCCGATACTCCAGATACATATGTGCAATTCACATATATACATAAACATATACATATATACATACTTAGATACGAGTATAAACTATACAATACATATGCATTTATAACCAAAAAGTCTGTAACAAAAGAGATCCGAAAATCGCATTTACATATATACATGACTTACTATATATACATATACATTCATCCATACTATATTTATAGCAGGTAATGCCCGGCCCATTATTATTATTTTCCATCCAATATTTTTTCGTATGAGAAAGTCGATGGTGGTAATATTGTTGTATACAACTGGTGATTTTCTTATTCGACGATTGGCATTAAAATCATTTTTGGAACACTCCATTGAAATGAAATCGGTTCTGGAAGATCGATGAGTCAAATTTAAAGTGCGACTCTTAACCCGGCATGAGCCGCGTAATACCAGCTAAGAGATATATATGCACGATATACATATGCATATGCAATATATATACATATAAAAGTACATTTACATATATCATTGTAATAATTTGTAATGTTTATCAGTAGAATTATGAATCGAACATGAAATGCATATTAAAAGTAAAAAAAAACCAAATGTAATTACATTCAATTTACAACTAAACGACTTTTATTGGATTAATCTACATATATACTTCTTGGCGATACTCACACGATACATTTTGATTTAATCAATTGTATTGGCGATGCAGGCTTAAGCTGGAATTCATCTAAAAACTAAATACAACCGAATACATAATATGTATGCATTAGATACCAACAAATACCATACAACTGGCATAACAGGCATTATAATAACGAGTCAAGTGTCAAAAGGCAATCGTCAAAATGAATATGAATTACTGATCACCGCTGCCGCATTCGGTGTTCTTCATATTGGCCAGCGTTGCGTCCAGCTCGGATTGAATTTGCTCGAATTGATTGTACAGCTGCAGCAGCTCTGGCTGCGTCATCTCAAAGTTGATGTCCTCGCTGGCGCCTGTTTTTAGCTGCAGCACGGCCAGGGCTGTCTTCTCGCGCTGCTGGCAATGGGATGCGATCTCCACGTTCAGTTTCCAGGCCATGTCCTCAATCACATTCGACTCATAGCGCTCGCTGGCCAGGTTGTTCATCATGGGCGTCGTCTGGCGCACCCACAGCCGCAAAATGGCATCGATTTTGGCCTCGTCCTGCAGCTGCAACTTCTCGCGCAGCTCGCGCTGCAAATGACTCGGCTTGATGATGAACGTTGAGATGCGCCTCAAGATGTACGAGAATGTTTTGATCAACAGCAAAAAGTCGGCTCGTGCCACGCCCACCAAACGCTCCAGCTCCTCCAGTGTATATTCCGGTTCGCTGCTAGTGTGGCTAGTCTCGCCGCTGCTGCTGCCAGCCCGCTCCGTTGTTGTGACACTGGTGCCAACGGTGCCCGACAGACCCGAGCCGCTTCCACTGCCAGAGCCACTACTCGCTGGACTCATCTGGCGGTGCACGTAGAGCAGAACTGTTGTGAAAGTATCGTAGGGCAGGGCGTTTATGATTTTGATGCCCTCGCGTGCACTGAGTAGCCAAAACCGAAATCGTTTAGTGGGTGAACATCAACAGTAAATTAACATTCCACTTACCGCTCAGTTATTTTAATCCAATTGATGCTCATGTCTACAATCACAATTCTCAACAACTGAACACAAATAATAATGAGAAATTCATTCAGTTCAGTGCTGTCAACTCAAGGCAAACTATATAAATGGCGGCAAGATGGCAGCCCTGATCATTTTTGAAATGGGACGTAGTTTTGGTAAGATAGGTAGATCTTCGCCAATCAAACAAACAATTTTCAAATAAAAGAAGCCTTGCTGAACGTACTGGCATTTACAATACACAATTCAAATAACAAACAAAGAAACACTTCGTGTACCAAAAACGGCATTCTTCTTTTGTCTGATTGATTTTTCTCACATATTCTGATCGAACCTTTTCCCATATTCGGAGAATCTTTGAATGGCCAGCTGCTCTTAGAAAAATCATGAAGTGAATACAGAAATTATGCATATCGAATATTTTTATATGCAAGCATTTCCCAAGCAAAGATTTTTAATTCAAGAAGATTAGTCAACACCGCAAAGCGTTGCCAGATGGTCGGCAATTCAGTCAGCTGTTGTCTGTCACAACATTCACAAAGAGGACGGAGCATTCAACGCCGGCAAATGAAGTAGAAATAAATAAATAAATAGCAAAACAATAATAAAAATGTTCAACAAAGGGATTTTACTGCTGCTAGCGCTTATTTACAGCTGTGCCGCTCACGTAAGTAAACAGAGAGAGAGAGAGAGAGAGCGCGAAAAAAGCTATTATTGTTGTTGCTGTCATTTAAGGATACTTCAATGCTGCCGGAGGCCTATGTGGATGCCGCCCAGCGCTCAACGCATACGAATAATTGGGCGGTGCTGGTGGATGCGTCGCGCTTCTGGTTCAATTATCGCCATGTGGCCAATGTGCTGTCCATTTACCGCTCGGTGAAGCGTCTGGGCATACCCGACTCCCAAATAATTCTAATGATTGCCGATGACATGGCCTGCAATGCGCGCAATCCACGACCCGGTCAGGTTTACAACAATGCCAATCAGCATATCAATGTCTACGGCGATGATGTTGAGGTCGACTATCGCGGCTATGAGGTGACTGTCGAGAATTTTGTGCGCCTACTCACGGGACGCACACAAAATGGCACCGCACGTTCCAAGAAGCTACTATCCGATGCTGGCAGTAACGTGCTCATCTATCTGACTGGACACGGCGGCGACGGCTTCCTAAAATTCCAAGACTCTGAAGAGATAACCAGCCAGGAACTGGCCGACGGTATACAGCAAATGTGGGAAAAGAAACGGTATTAATTTATATTTTGAAATATTGCTTCAGTTATTCGAGGAGAGAGTTGTGCAAAACGCAATTACTTCCCCAATCTATTGTATATTTTGTAGTTACAACGAGCTCTTCTTCATGGTGGACACTTGCCAGGCAGCATCGTTGTACGAGAAGTTCACATCGCCCAATGTTTTGGCCGTGGCTAGTAGTCTTGTAGGCGAGGATTCATTATCGGTACGTGCTACCAATCCTTGTCAATCTCGTGGCTAAGTTGCTTACGTTGCATTTCCCTTACAGCATCATGTGGATGCCTCGATTGGGGTTTACATGATCGATCGCTATACCTACTATGCGCTTGAGTTTCTGGAGAAAGTGCAGCCATTCAGCAAGCGCACAATTGGCGAATTTGTAAGCGACTATTTTATATATGCAATGATGATTGGATCTATTGGGTTTGACACATGCTATATTTATGTTTTGCAGTTACAAGTCTGTCCGAAGCGTGTTTGCATCTCAACTGTAGGCGTGCGCAAGGATTTATACAGGCGTGATCCGCATAAGGTGCCCATCACCGACTTCTTCGGAGCCATACGACCCACACACGTCTCCACGGATCGCATTAATGTGACACTGGCGAACGAAGAGTACGTTAAAATACATTTAAATAAATACAGTGTTCGTTTGAAAATTTGTTGGTTATTTTTTCTTTCAAGCAAACACTGTATACATGAATCATTGAATCATTTAATGTCCATGTACCATTTACCTATTTGCAGAGACTTTGTCAATGCGGTGGCCAATGTGCGACCAAAGAAGCAGTTCAAGATCGTAATGGAACCGCAGTTTACTGCCGCATTCTTGAAATGAGAGAGGGTGCCAGCTTAGGTAAGGTCCTAGAAAGCGGCTGCAAACGAATTAAATGAGTTCAAAGCTTGTACACTTTCATGTGATAATATTAACTTTATTCGTAAATACATTTCATTTCATTAATTTATATTATTATTAATACAATGTGTAATTTATTAAATTTATGTGTGAGTTTGTGTCTGTGTTTGATCTCGAATCGTGCTTTAAAATTCTCAATTATGGGCTTAGTTCGCTTCATCAGTTTCAAATTTGGGTTTTTCCTTTTCATATTCAGCTATCATCTTTTTTTTCGTTTTTGTTTTTTTTGTTTTGTTTTGTTTTTCCCATTACATCAATGCTAAATTATATTTTGGTTTTGTTTCTTTCACTATCAAACGCTCACTAATCCATCAAGTAACATTCATATCAAATCCCAAAGAATAAACGAAAGCCATACATACATATATATTTGTGTGTGTATATGTCGTATATACTTATATAAAACGTATGAGTCTGTCCTCATTCTTAAACAAACACATTGGATTTGCCCAAAAAAAAAAAAATTATTATTTAATATATAATTTATATTATTCCTGTTTCCATATTCTTATTATATTCCTTGGGTATACACAAAAATGTTCGATTTGTTTGAGTAACAATGGCATTTTGTTTTAGCTCTGTTAGCCAACTGAAGCGTTTAAAAAACGTCTTTCAATTGCACAGGACGACGTTTACTCTCTTCGTCTTGTCGTTCTTGTTGTTGTTGTTGTGTTTGTATTTGTTGTTGTATGGAAGGATCTACATTATTTTTACTTGCATTATGTACTTAGTTTTGTTGTTGTTTTTTTTTTTGTTGCTTTTGATTGAAATCAAATCGAAAATGCCAGATAATATCGACTATACATATATATATATATATATATATGTGTGTTTCATTAGCTTTTTATTGCATCAGTCCCATTTGTTTTGAGTTTTTAGGTTAATCGTTTATCCGTTATCCATTAAGGGGTTTTTGTTTTTTTTTATTTAATTTAATTTTGTTGTTGTTCTCAAGATCGAGTTAAGCACCATAAAAAGTTATTACTCCTCTCCAGCTGGCAAGCACATTACACACACTCAATTTCTCTTCTGATTTCTCGTTTATTCGCAAGCGGCATTCGGCTTTTGAGCATATTTCGAACAATTGCATTTAATGTTTCGTATCCTATATGTATATATGCATATCATGTTTAGAGAGTGCTGCCTGTGGTCTGAGTGAGTACTACTTAGGATCATCTACTTTTTGGGTTTGGTTGTATATGTATATATATATATATACAGATATATATATATATATCGTTTGTGTGTGTGTGTGTATGTGTATCTGGTTATGGAATGGATTTATCTGTTATCTGCTGTAAATGTGTTATTAAAAATTAGCTAGCTAATCAATAGGTGCCACAGGGAAATGCAAAGTTTTTGGGGGATGCACTATATGGAAGCAGCTTAACAATATATCTAATGCATATGATCCACACTCATTACACGTTAATTGTTACTCGCTACTTGTTACTCTTTAATCGTTACTTGTTTCTCGTTATTTACAATGACATAAGAGCAAACCGATGAAATACATTCGGTTCTCTAAGATGGCCTGTCCTAATGGGTCTCTTCTAATTGGGATTTGGAGCTTTGGGTTTGGGTGCTGCTTGTGGGTGGCTTTGTCAGTGCAACTCTTCTCTTATCATATATGGCCTATGTGTGGTAATATTTGGTTAACTGGGCCACCAAATTATAATTAGAGAAAACTTTTCGGGCATGTCTAACTCAAATGCAATGCAATACAATTGCATTTTAATGTCTAACACTTATTTGATAACACGCAGTGCAAAAATATGGTATCATCATCATCATCATCATCATTATCTTCATCTCATCATTTACTCCAATGTGTGTACTACTTCTTCTTTGTTTTTATTTAAATTTTATATATTTGATCTTTCGATTGCATGTCTTCTTCAGTTTATGCTTTACAAAATTGGTATTCGTATTAATATTCATATTCGTAATAAAATACTTGGTTTTATGCGCTTAATACATATACTGTATATGTACTCAATGTACCCCTTATGTGTTTGCTGCTGCGTTGTTTAAGTATTACATTTGTAATATTCCCGAAAAAAACCACTCGGAAAAAAAAGAGAAAAAGTCACTACTGAAATTTTCATTGAAAAACAACTTTTGAAGGCAATTTGAAGTCAGACTCTTGCATTTCTCGCTTTTTTTTACCTACATTCGAATTTGTTTTCATTTACATTTATGTGTGTGTCAGTGTGTGTGTGTGTGTGTGTGTGTGTGTGTGTGTGTGTCAGTGTGAGTGTGTGAGCGAGAGCGCGTATGTTTTCGTTTTGAGGGGGTCGCTAGGAAATGGCAATTCATGCTTTGAACTCAGGACTGGGTATGAGCCACGCCTGTGGTTTCATATCTTTGCTATCTATTATACTACATATTTTTTTTAAAATTCGTTTCACTATTGTTTCTGTGTGGTTTTTAGGTTGACAGGTTCTATGCTGCCCAGTGGAGAATATTTTAAATTAAGCTTGAACCAAAACTATTGTAAATAATTAATTTATGTATACGCTAATAAATATTTTGTGTTCTTAAAATATCTCTAAAAGATTGGCTTTCATGTGCTAAGGACGTCGAATAGAATGTAGAATTTGACTTTAATGATTTTTAATATTCATTGAATAATACAAGCGTTTGATTATGCAGACATAACGGAAAAATGCTTTATTCTGAAGCGCTTTGGAAAAACTCTCATGTAGAGAATTTAAGAAAACAATGAATGTGGATTGATTGCAGATTGAAAGTAAATATGCAGCCATATGATATTTTAAGCAGGGTATAAAGCTGAACGTATTTCAGATCATGAATGTGAAATTTGCATTCGTCTTGGCCTATTGAATTGATGAACTTCCAGGCAGTTACGTATCGCATCGAATGTACCCCTCAAAGTATGCAACAAATCGTGTAACTGAGCAACTTGAGCTAAATTTGCTAGGATGTTTTCCCAACTTACGCCCGTAAGCGATTGCAAGGACAAAGGAGTTTTTGCAAATCTGGTGGGAGTTTTGGGTGGTTTGGTAAGCAAAGTAATAAAAATTAATAAAAAAAAAAATATTTAAGAATTACATTTATTGAAAATGTTAAAAAAAATGTATACAGACAGCAAAAAAATCAACAAAATTAATACATTTACAATAAACGGTAGTGCGACATCGATATCGATAACAAACGGCATCGATAGCAGCCCAATTTTAGGCGTTGTTTTTTTTTTGTTGTTTTCTTTTTCTTTTCTTTTCTTTTCTTTTTTGGGTTACGACGACGACGCGATCGCGAGCCATAAAAAAATCATAATATATATATACACATATATATGTATATGTATATATACATATATAGTAATTTGTATGCACTATGCGATAATTATGTTTAGTATGCATATGTATATATATATATATGTATATACATACATAATAATAATAATAATAATAATTAATAAAAAAAAAAAAATAGTAAATGAATAATTAGAATTAGATATTTAAGTGTACAATACATACATACAAACATACAAAAAACAGTTGTATAATTTTGTATGCACACATTTTGCTTTAATTTTAATATTATTTTATATTAGCTTATGCTTAGATGTATGTGTGTATGGGTGTGTATGTGTGTGTATGTGATGGGTTGTGTGTATGTGCGAGAGTATGCTTATTTTCTTTCAGCTTTTAACCAGAGACGCTTTGCTTTTGGGCGCCAATAAGCTTATGAGCCCAGGGCAATATATATATAGTCCAACATTTATACATACATATGTGTAGTGTTTGACATATGATTATGCATTTAACATGCATGTATGTATGGGTAAGTGTTTGTGTGTGTGTGTGTTGATGTGTGTGTTGATGTGTGTTTATGTGTGTGTGTGTATGTGTGTGTAAATAGTTCATTAAACTAACATTACATAATATGCCATTGTAATAATTTAAAGTATAAGTTTTGCTCTCAATTTGCTGTGTTATCGTTAATCGATAAGTGCAGCAAAGCACGCCTACCCGCCCCTACTCGCCTCCTACCAGCCCGTCACACGCAGCGCAGCCTGCAGTCTATGTGTGTGTGTGTATGTGTGTGTGTATGTATGTATGCGTGTGTATGTGTGAGTGTTTATATGTGGGTGTGTGAATTTCTCTACAAAAAGTACTTAAAACGAGCGACGGTAAAAACTAGCTAAATACTACTACAGTTTATACATCTATATACATACATATGTATACGTATAAATGTATATGTATATATATATATATTTATATACATATATACATACATACATATATATATATATATATATATATATATATATCATATATTTTATATGCTTGTGTGTATATAAGGATATATACTTTATGTGGTTGATTTTCTTTGCTTTGAGTTATATGTAAATCTATTCAGATCTGTGTGTGTATATATTATATATTTAAATATAATTTTGTTGTTGTATATATATATATATATATTTATATATATAAAAAAAAAAACAATGCATTCTTATAGCTGTAGATGTGAGTGTGTGTATGTGTGTGTTTGGGTGTTTTCTGGCTATACTCAACTACAACTCATTATATCAATCTTAACTCATCTCCATATGGATACATGTTAACACTTAACTTAAGTTTTATATATATATATATATTATTTTTTTTTGTTGTTTGTTTTTTCTTGTCTCTTAAAATTGTTCACAAAAAAAAATTGAATTTGTTATTCATCATCATTAGATATTTATGTATATGTGTGTGTGTCATTAAATAATATATATAGTAAAAGCATAATTTATTTAGTTTAAAAAGTCAACACACACATTCGTAGTGCCGTAAAAACCACAGAATCCAGTTCTAAAACCGAACCATAAACCAAACCAATTGCGATCCATTTCGTTCTTTGTTCTTTGTTCCATTTCGATTCGCTTCTGTCTGCAGTCTTGTTGCTTGTTGTTTGTTGCTTGTTTTCTGTGCGGTCGGTCGTAATTGGGGTAATTTGCTTCAGTTTGTTTGAGTTGTTCAGGTTAACGAAATTATATAGGACAGAAGCCAAACTAAACCGTTCATTCAATTTACTTTCGTTCCGTTCGGTGTCCGGTGAAGTGAAGTCTTATATTTCTATATATTTCGTTCTTCTCCAGATCGGTCCTTTATTTTGATTTTTTTTTTTTTTTTATTATTTTGGTCTGCAGTCTTGTGTTCTTATGTTTTCGTTAGGATTAGATAAGGGCATCTGGATTGGTTGCTCGATTGGTTCAGTGCATTCGGGTGTAGTTTACGCAATTTCTACTAAAGGGTTGTGCTTTTCGTTTTGTTTTGTTTTGTTTTGTTTTGTTTGTTTTTAGGTTTAGGTTATTTTTTGGCTTATCAAGTCCAACAATTAGG